CTCTCTCTCTCTCTCTCTCTCTCTCTCTCTCTCTCTCTCTCTCTCTTTCTTTCTCTCTCTCTTGCGCGCGCTCTCTCTCTCTCTCGCTCTATCCCTCGGTCTCTCTCGCTCTGGAGCGCCCCTCCACCCTGTCTGTCGACGCTTCTCCGCCCTGGCTCGAACCCACGGGCTACTCGCTACTCTAGCCGGCGTTTTACACTGCCTAACCAGCACCGACCTGACCCGCTGCCGCCTGGCGGAACCAGGCTGGGCTTTCGACGCCGATTTTTCGAACGCACCCCCGATCCCGCGTCTGGGGGTGCACCCAGGCCAAACACCTGCGACGAGACACTAGGCGCTAAGGCGACCGAACTACACGAGAACCCCGGCGATTCGCCTGACCACGGTGTGCAACGCACCGCGCCGCAAAACCACGACTACCTGAGGCACCCGGGCGGACATGTTGGACGAGGACACTGCGCACACGCGCCGCTGACGACGGCCCCCGGCGCCCTTTTTCTCGCGCTGCCTACCACGCCGGACGGCCCTACAACCCGCAGCCAACGGAATCAATTTTTACGCGACCGAGACGCCCGGCTTCCAACGTCGCATCAGAATCGGGGGACACCGGATCGCCGGTTTTTTCGGCCCGACGATGGCCCGATGGATATTTCCTCGGAGAATCGGTCCAGCCGACGATTCCGCTGCGGTTGTATCCTATCTTTTGGATAACATTTCTTTTTTTTTAATACCGATGCAACAGGTTCTTTCGATGCAATTTGTGGGAGGGGTGCTGTGTTTTCGCGAGGGGAAATTTTGGGCGGGGAGGAAGGATTTTTGGGGGCTGTTGTAGTCTCGTGGAAATTTACTTTGGAGACACATTTGGAACTATTTGGACATTCGGCGGCTGCGTTTGCGGAAGTTTTGCCGGTATTTTAGATATTTTATGCTGCACTTTTGGCAATTAGACGGCGCATAATTGGAAACAGGTTGTTGCATTTTGGGTAATTATCGTTACACAGAACATTCGCAGTTGTAGTTTGGTAGAAAAATCGCAAAAATGGGGGTCATTTTAGAATTTCTATGGTGCACTTTTGGGAATTAGATGGTGCATAATTAGAAACAAGTTGTTATATTCTGGTTAATTATTGTCTCACAGAATATTCGCAGTTGCAGTTTGGCAGAAAGAATGCAAAAAATTTAGAACTGCATTTTAGAAATTCTATGGTGCATTTTTGGGAATTATATAGTGCATAATTGGAAACAGGTTGTTACATTCTAATTAATTATTGTTACATAGAACATTCACAGTTGTAGTTTGGTAGAAAAATCGCAAAAAAATTTGGGACTGCATTTTGGATATTCGAGGCTACGTTTCGAATATCTGAGGTTACATTTTGGACATTTCGGCTCAACATGAGTGAAGAACCTGAGCGTTCGCGCGACACGGTTGACGAAATTCGCAGCAAATAATACTCCGAGACCGGTCGATTTTCGTCGAAAAAACGTGTAAGGGTTTCTCTCGATTGTATAAATTGTTCCCGGCCACAGTGATCGAATTATCGGATCGGATGAAAGCAGAAACAAGGGATGTTTCTCCGGGACCGAAACACGCGATAACACTTGGCCACCGCTCGGGGATCGAGAAATAAAATATAGATCCGTCTGGGAAATTGATTCTGTGCCGCCGCGAATCCCCGATTCTTCCATCTTCGGGCTCTCTTTGCTCGTTCTCGGGGCTGTCGAATCCTCGCACGCAGACGTTGAAATTTCTCCGCGCCCCTTGCCCCCGCCGCGTCTCGCCCCGACAACGACAGTGACGGAGCATGGTGCAACTACATCGTTTTCGACGACAACCAGTCGATTCTTATGAAACTTACCCGAGGGGATGTTTCTGGGATGAATATTTCACGCGCGACACTTCGTAATTATTTACTTTTGGGGTTTCGCCGATGCAACCCTTCCATCGGTTATCTAAAAATTCAATAATCCAGAAGATCCGTGCACGAGAAATAATTCGGCTGGAATTCTGTGTTTCTTAATCGCCGACGAGGCTTCGCAAAAATTCGGTTTCGGCTAATTAATGAGAACGTTTCTGCGTCCGTGAATAATTACTATGACAGACGCTCGCTTCGCACGATCGAACGCTTTCAACCGGGAAGGTGGCATTAATTAGAGCCTCGAAACCCAATTTTATCGCGGAACCCCGAGTTTTATCGGCGGGGACCGTTTCCAGCTGAGAACCCCTGGCTAATTAGATGAAGCACTGTCCAAAACCTGGCTTTTCAAAGTCTAATTTTTCAGATCAGCGCCGGCCAACTTTTTTCCCGCGGCACCGGACAAATTCGAAACTCGGCGTAAACTCGATTCCCCGAGAGAATCAACGTCCCTAAGTGCTGCTAAAAATAATTTTCAGGCTTAGGGAGCTGCTTCCGGATCGTTCGCATCGTCAAAATATCGATAAATTTGTTTCGATTGGAAAAGGGGGGCCGCCGGCCGGGCGTTCGATCCTCGAATTGCTTCGATAAATCCTGATACCGGGGGCAGGGGGGAGCCGGATCATTCTGACTGTTTCGGTCAGGGTCGACTATTATGGTTTTCCACGAAATCACGTGCGGTAATCACCGTGTTTTACGAGCTGCTGCGAGCTGCAGACTATTAGATCGATACAATCGGCCTAGCCGTGGTGCTTCTGAGACACGCTGATTGCGAGAGCTCCTCGGCTAATTTTTTTCTCTGTCTATACCGGCCCCGTCCCCCGGGTAAAAGATCGCAATCAGCTGGTGATTGTCGTGTACTCGTACCCTAGCACAGTCTGTACACTCTGACGCAAAGAGTGCTAAGTAGATGCGGGCGGTTTTTCGTCGGACACTCGCTTTTAAGCCCAGCTTTCCTCCGAATTTTAATCCAACTTTCTTCCTTTTTTCGTCTGCTCGCGCCAGTCGAGCGTACCGGGTGCTCCGGTTTGTCATGGAATATGTGCTATTTCCAAGATCAATTTCTTCCGGAAATTTTGGACCATTTTTTCGACCATAATATCTGAACGCAAGGGTCTTAAAGATCGAAATTATTTTCATCAATATCCTAGCTCAATCTGACCTCCGAGCCAGGCTTATTTCGCTTCAAAATATTAAGTAGATCTGGACCGCGGTGGTCAGACAATCTATAATCCTCTACTTTTATAATCTCATATGTTTAATTACAATAAATGCATATTGTATCGAAACAAATTAAAATAAAATATATTCACCATACACGATAAAATAGAAATTTGTTCCCGCGAGCATACGTCTGCGTACATCGTTCAATCGAGCCGAAAAATCCCGGAGCTGTAAACTCGGTTCGATAGTTAAGTAGATAAGGACACTCATGTCCGGACAGAGTTCCTGATGACGTTCGAGTACGTCCTCGGTTTCTCTGGGGGGGCTCTGACGCACGCAGGCAAGACCGTCTCGGCCAGTTAGCGACTTTCGTATTCAATAACGCCGACCACTTTGTCGGCGCACCGTGTAAAATAAACGGCGCCGCGAGCGGCGACATTAATAACGGCGGGGAATCGGCGGCCGAATCCCTCGGACGTCCAATAAAATTTCCGGTGAATGGCTTTCAAATTTATTCGGGTCTCGATCCTCGTCCCCGTGACGAGCAATTAAACGCAAAAACGAGAGGATTCCCGGCGCCCGACTCGACGAGAGGGCGAAGGGACTGGAAGGGTGGCCCGCGGTGGGGGCGGTAACGGGGAGGGTGGAAACGGTGCGAGAGGAAGGATCGCCGAACAAGATCGATGAAAGTTACTTGTCTTTCGCGGCAGTGTATCAGTTTCACACCGGTCACTTGGAGAGCCTGAAACAGGATACACCGGGCTCGAGTTCTTGCCCGCTGCGACCCCTGGCAACCCCGTGAACCCTTACCTGGACCCGTTGCACCGAAAAAGTTAATTAAACGAGGCTGAAGATCGTTCTCGTTCATGGAATAAATAAAGC